AAGAAGCTTTTTCAGCTCTGAAGAAGCTTCTTGGATGAGAAGCGAAATGTCTTCAAAGAAAAAAAAACCCAGAAAGTCCAGTTGCCTCTTGAAAAAAGCACCTTTGGGACAACCATGACCTGGAAGACTGAGAATCTCCACAGACATTGAACATAGATCTTTTTAACATTTATATTTTATTGGGTCCTGCTAATCTAGATGAAATGTTAATATAGCTTGATAGTCCGTGTATGATATGCCGTACGCTAAATAAATCAATAAACTGAATCTATGAAGAAGCAGAAGAAATAGTTATTCTGACAGCTGCAAACCTCTCAGGCATGTGATAGGAAGTCTGCTTTAGATAATAGCACGTACAATGTATTCATAGCCCTGAGGGTGGACTAGATATTGAAACGAACGATTAAATTTACTAATTAGCATTGATTGGAACTCTTTGCAACATCTAAATCTCCTTTTGCTCCAGTGTATCCTTTGCAAAGGAATTCTTGAACAAGCTGAAAGAGTCTAACGTGCTCAGTTCCCATGCTTTCATAAATATCTTTGGGTTCGGAGTGTTTTTCCCTTAAAACGTTGTGGTCTTGGTGCATTCACCCCGATGGCTTTGTGTGCTCCTTGCACAGACTCCACCATTTTTGGAACGTTCACTACAGTGGTGAAATCTAAAATTTGTTACTACCGTTTCTGTGGGCGTGGCTTGGTGGTGGTGGGGTAATGTGACGGTGGGCGTGGCCAATTTTTTTTTTTTTTACTTTTAAAACCATTTTTTCTACAAATGCTTTCAAAATGCTTTCAAAAGGCTCTGATGATCCCAGCTGACTTGCCTGATCGGAAGAGATTTTTTTTCTTTTAAATGCCTCTGACGATCCAAGCTGAGTTGCCTGATCGTTAAAGGCATTTAAAAGAAAAAAAAGTCTCTGCCAATCAGGCAACTCAGCTTGGATCGTCAGAGGCATTTAAAAGAAAAAAAAGTCTCTGCCAATCAGGCAACTCATCTTGAATCGTCAGAGGCATTTAAAAGAAAAAAAGTTTTTTTTTTCTTTTAAAAGCCTTTGATGATCCCAGCTGAGCCGCACGATGATCAGAGGCTTTTTTTTTTTTTACTTTTAAAAGCATTTTTTCTACAACCTCTTCTGCTGAAAAAATGTTTTTAAAAGTAAAAAAAAAAAAAAGCCTCTGATGATTGTGCGGCTCAGCTGGGAATGGGGGGGGGGCAGGGATTTTTGCCATCGGTTCTCTGAACCACCCGCCTCCATCGCTACCGGATCGGGCAATCCGGTCCGAACCGGGAGCATTTCACCCCTGAAATGAAAGCAAAGTGAAAGGAGAAAAGCCCACCTCCAATGGCCTCTGTTGCATCGGCCTTCCCAAATCCCCTAGTCACATTTTCCTCCATCCCAACATTGACTGAGAAGACTGTAAGAGCAGTAGTGGCATGCTGCCGGTTTAACTACCGTTTCGGTGAGCACGGGCTTTCGCATGTGCCTAAGGCGCTTGCACGCAGCGCTGAAAATGGAGCATTTAGAAGCTCAGATGCTTACCTTCCAAGTCAGCAACGGTAAGTAGAACAACAAGGGGGTGCAGGAAATCAGCTGTGCCGTGCGATTGAGGTGAGCTACAAAGCAGGAAATAAAGGACAGGGTAGAGTGGGGGCAGGTGGGCGGGGCCAACTGATAGAGCTACCGGTTCGCCTGAACTGGTCCGAACCGGCTGAATACCATTTCTGTGTAAGATCTTTCTCACCATAGTGTTTTGCTTTCTGTTTCACAACCCAGTACTGAGGCTTGGTCCATGCATGGGAATGATACTAAGGAAGAAGAGATTTCACTTTCCCTTGTGAGTGAAACTAAGGCTCTTCAATTTGTCATTCAGAACTAGCTCTCCGCTTAAAAAGCCCCACCCCCACCCCCGCCGCCACTAAGGCAAAGCAGAGACGAATTGATTGATGGAGCTAATTTGTTTAGACAGATCGATTCACAAAAGAGAGGGGAAATGGAACACTCTCCTTTTAGGATGCCAAGGAAGGGTGTGGGATGAGTTAGTGAAATAAATCCTCAGGCTGTTTGTTTTTTTATTTTTATCTTAAGTGCTACCAGCAGATCCACAGAACGGCTACATGGTTGTAGGTCGTGACTAGCTGCCCAAATTACTCCACGAAAAGGAAATGCTCAAGGTCTATTAAAAATAAATAGCTGAGCTGGGAATCAAGAAGTTCATTCTTCCCCGAGGAGTTGTTGAATGTTTGTAGAGTGATAGCCTACAGATCTCTTGTGTAGAGCTGACTTAGGTTCAGATTTTTACTTGGTCATAACAATGTCAGTTTCAAAGATCTCTTGGCAGGGATGAAATGCTACCGGTTCGGTCCGGTTCGCTTGAACCGGTAGTAAAAAAACGTTTTAAAAAAAGTTCCGATGATCAGCTGAGTGACCCGCGATCATCGGAACTTTTTTTAAAAACTTTTTTAGCATTTTTTTTACTACCAGTTCTCCAGGGAGGTAGTGGGGGAAGGAAAAAGGAGAGGAAGGAAGGAGTACAAACCAGGCACTAGAGGCAGCTTCAAAGGATAATCCAGGGCTGGAAGGGACCTGTAGGTCATCTAGTCCAACCCTGCTCCAGCAGGACATTCTTAGTGAGTTTCTGTCTTTTGATCCCCCAGTCACATGGTTACATAGCCACGCCCACCCAGTCACATGACACACACGCCCACCAAGCCACGCCCACAGAACGGGCAGGAAAGAAAATTAGATTTCACCACTGTCTCTTTGGGTAAATCAGTCAGCATCTTCTAATTGGCTTCCTAAGATTTTTGTGAAGGTGTCAAAAGAGAAGAGCCAACAACAATTTGGGGATTTCTAGACGAAAAGTAATGTCAGCCAAGGAACTCTTCTTTTTCACATCCTGAAAACTTTGGAAATACAACTTGGTTTCTAATCTGTGGCTTCCAGGCGAAATGAAAACTCTCCATCTCAAGTCTTGACATGAAATGCCTGTTTTACAGTGAAGCTGAAATCAAACCAAATCTTTATTCGACCACAGACCAACAAATAAAAACACAAGAGTCACCCTTAATTAAGATAAAAGGAAAAATAATAGTTGTTCTAAACTATCTAAAAAGGGTTAGAGGTAATACTGGTAAGTCTTTTGATCACAGTGGAGCCCAAAATTTCCGTTGCTAAGCAAGACAGTTGCTAAATGACTTGTGCCTCATTTTACCATCTGTTTTGCCACTCTTGTTAAGCGAATCACTGTGGTTGTTAAGTAAATCATGTGGTTACTAAGTGAATCTGGCTTTCCTCCATTGACTTTGTCGGTTGGAAGCCATCTGGGAAGAAAGTTTCAATGATGGTCACGTGACTTTGGGATGCTGCAACTGTCATAAATACACACCAGTTGCTAAACTCTCAAATTTTAATTACTTGACCATGGGAATGCTGCAATAGTTGTAAGCGTGAAAAATGGTCATAAGTCCCTTTTTTAGTGCAGTTCTAACTTTGAATGGTCACTAAACAAATGATTGTAAGTTGAGGAGTACCTATATAGGTAGTGTATAGGTACTCCTCATGAGTGGTGTGGTGGCCTAGAGGTGGAGCTGTCGTCTCACAATCAGGCGGCTGTGAGTTTGATCCTAGGTACGAGGCAGATATTTCTCTCTCTGGGCATGTTGAGAACATATCTGCTGGATATAACTCTGCATTGACGACAGGAAGAGCATCCGGCCAGTAAACACTTAGCTCCATTCAGTTGCCCAGACTGCCCCCTCTCTTCTCCCCCCCCCCCCCGCAAGGGATTATGTGGTCATTAAAAGAAAAGGATGATAGGTACTCATAAAAAGTGACTTACGACCATTTTTCACCTTTAACGACCTTTCCAGCATCCCCATGATCATGTGATCAAAATTCGGATGCTTGGCAACCGGTTCACAGTTAGAACCGTTGCTGTGTCCCAAGATCATGCAATCACCTTTTTTGCGACCTTCTGACCAGCAAAGTCAACGCAGAAGCCAGATTCACTTACCAACCACAGCGATTCATTTAACGACTGAGGCAAGAAAGGTCATAAAATGGGGCAAAATTCACTTAGCAAATGTCTCACTTACCAACAGAAATTTTGGGCTCAGTTGTCATAAGTCGAGGGCTACCTGTATTACAATGTACCATGCAGACCATAGAACGGTACTCGGGTGGAGAATAGGAAACACAAATCAGATTGATCCAGTGGTAACATTTTGAGATAAAACAAATTGGAACAACAAGGGCATTTAGTAAAAAGTGGAAAGAATAGAATAGAATAGAATAGAATAGAATAGAATAGAATAGAATAGAATAGAATAGAATAGAATAGAATAGAATAACAGAGTTGGAAGGGACCTTGGAGGTCTTCTAGTCCAACCCCCTGCTCAAGCAGAAAACCCTATAACATTTTAGGCAAATGGTTGTCCAGTCTCTTCTTAAAAATCTCCAATATTGGGGCAGTCACAACTTCTGGAGGCAAGTTGTTCCACTGTTAATTGTTCTAGCTGTCAGGAAATTCCTCCTTAGTTCCAGGTTGCTTCTCTCCTTGATTAGTTTCCACCCTTTGCTTCTTGTCTTGTGCTGCCCTCAGGGGCTTTGGAGAATAGCTTGACTCCCTCTTCTTTGTGGCAGCTCCTGAGATATTGGAAGACTGCTATCATGTCTCCCCTAGTCCTTCTTTTCCTTAAACTAGACATACCCAGTTCCTGCAACCGTTCTTCATAGGTTTTAGCCTCTAGTCTCCTAATCATCTTTGTTGCTCTTCTCTGCACTCTTTCTAGAGTCTCCACATTTTTTTTATAATACGGTGACCAAAACTGGATGCAGTATTCCAAGTGTGGCCTTACCAAGGCCTTATAAAGTGGTATTAACACTTCACGTGATCTTGATTCCATCCCTCTGTTAATGTAACCAAATTATTCTTTGTGAATGGACTTCCCGAGACTGTTTTCTCTCTCTCTCACGGGACCTTCTTAATATCTTTTCCAGGGTTTCATTAGGATGTTTAGCGTCGGATACTTGATCCAGTGTTGCCTTCGCATCCCATCCGCGTTCCGACATCTGTTTACAAATCCATCCCGGCTTCTCTCACTTTTCTACAACAAAGAAAACTTCCAGCTTGGAGCTTTCCTTGGGTCATTTGTCAGCATATACAAAGTAAGTTTCAAAAGTGCTGAAAAATTAGAACGTGATTATGCTAAGCTCCTCATCTGGCATCAGCAGCTGCTGCCGTTGCAACCCTTTAGCTAAAAGTACCTTTATTGTTCTGGAGCAGAGTATCTATCGAAGCTAAATTAAACGCTTTATTTGCAAACAGTTTTGAAGGGGGGGGGAAATACGTTGGCACTAACCAACCTCGTTTTTTTTTTTTAAACCTAATATGGATAAAAGGCGGAATGTTCCTTAGTGAGCATTAGCGGGAAATTGGTGGGTTTCCGTCAGAAATTCGTAACCTCCCTAATAGGGGCAAGGTGGAAATTCACATGATTTTGCTTTCTCTGACGTGAAGTCTTTATAACATTCCATTACTCGGTAAGCTAGGAGAAAAAAAAGCAAGGGCTGAAAATGAGCGGCAAAAATGTGAGGGTTAAAAAACAACAACCGGTCAGTATTATCATGGAATGGAAGCTTAGAATGGAAGTTTGGTTTAGTGGTTATTATAAGGGACTCTGTGGCTCAGTGTCTAAGATGCCGAGCTTGTTGATCGAAAGGGCAGCAGTTCAGTGGTTCGAATCCCTAGTGCCGCATAATGGGGTGAGCTCCCGTGACTTGTCCCAGCTTCTGCCAACCTAGCAATTTGAAAGCACATAAAAAAATGCAAGTAGAAAAATAGGGACCACCTTTGGTGGGAAGGTAACAGCGTTCCGTGCACCTATGGTGTTTAGTCATGCCGGCCACATGACCACGGAGAAGTCTTCAGACAGCGCTGGCTCTTCGGCTTTGAAACGGAGATGAGCACCGCCCCCTAGAGTCTGGAACGAATAGCACATATGTGCCAGGGGAACCTTTAACTTTTACCTTTATAAATCCACCTCGAATATTTTTAATTAACTTAAATTTTAATGAATTAATGCTATTAGTTTGGTTAAAATTAATTTTTAATCAATCTATTTTATTTATTTATTTATTTAGCCAGTTATTTAGTTATCTACCTACCTACCTACCTACCTACCTACCTACCTACCTACCTACCTATTTCCTGCCTCCATTATTTTTACAAATAACTCAAGGCGGTGAACATACAACATATTCCTTCCTCCTCTTATTTTCCTCACGATGACAAATAGGTTTGCTATGAAAGCAATTCCCACTTTCTGTATATGCCTGGGTGTTTTTTTTTTGTTTTTTTTTTGCTAGCTCCAGTGCACAGCGAAAACGTTGCTTTGTGTAGAACTTATTTCTTTCTACGTTCTACAAATTAGAAACCTAAATAGGTGGACTGTCTAATGCAGGGGTGGGGAACTGTGGCCCTTTTATGACTTATGGACTTCAACTCCCAGAATTCCTGAGCCAGGAATGGTAAAACTTCAGACTAGAAATCAATGAAGGGAATGATTTCTCGTTCTGTAATGCTGTCTTCGTGTAAAATACCTTTTGTAGGCACTACGTTAAACTTTTCTCCCTGAAGTATTAGGTTGTTATATCCAAGGAGATTTTTACTAGAGGAGTACAGTACTAATATGGCCCCCTTATCATCCAGGGCCTGCATTCTATTGTACTGGGATTTCACTTTTTATTGCTTATTTATATATTTACATCTCACTTTTGTTATTTTTATAAGTAATTCAAGGCAGCGAACGTACCTAATATTCCTTCCTTCTCCTGTTTCCCCCACACAACAACCCTGTGAGGTGGGTTGGGCTGAGAAGGAGTGACTGCCTCAAAATCCCCCAGCTGGTTTTCATGCCTAAGGTGGGACTAGAACTCACGGTCTCCTGTTACAGGCTTGGGACAGTTCCGGGACTAGAACTCACAGTCTCCTGTTCCAGTATTTTAACCACTGCATCAAACTTTCTTAGCTACCTATCTAATGTTTATTTATTTATTTACATTAATTTGTCAAGCGAAAATTACAAATTCGAACAAGCAAAATGAAAACAAATGGAGCAATAGGCACATTAGTGCACTTATACGTGCCTCCTTAGGAAACATGGGGTGAGGTCCACAGAAGTTAAATTAGAATTAAAACCGTGAAAGTCAGCTGAGACAACTGAATCCTGAATTTCAGACTTTGACAACTCGGTTACAAAAATCTTTTTTTTTTTTTTTGCAGTCAAGTTTAAAGTGATTTACATTAAGTTTAAAGCGGTGTTACTGTTAAACGTAACTATGTACAGTTTTATATGCAATGCCTAAACGTATTGGTGAAGCAAATTCTCCACAATAGAAGTTTACAGTAGATAAGAAACATACAGGCTTCTTTGTGTGAGGAGGATTTTTGAGATAACACTTTGTTAATCATTAAATAACTGAATAAAATCTGCCTTAGAAGGAAAGAACATATACATTTGCACGCACACAAACGCTCCTATACCTTTGAATTTGCCTGAAGCGTTTTCCCGTTGAACAACCTTTAACATATATCTAAATACAGTGTTCAGTTTAGTTTATAAGTCATAGCACAGGGCGTTATAAAATAGTGATCAAAACTGAAGCCACAATCAGCAGTTTTCTTGGCTTGATTAAATTCTAAGTCTATTATTGGGATCTTTGTTACTAAATTATTGTGTTGCAATGACAAAAATGTTGCCATGATTTCCTTAAAAATGCAGGGTACAAGCTGTTTCCTGCGATGGGTCCGGAACCTGGACGATGAAGTACACGCACTCATTGCAGGTAAATCTACATTTCCTCCCAACAGTCTCCCTCAGATTCCCAAAGTTAGTAGTTTCCATGGATCTCTTTAAGGTTTTAGGTTTAGGTTTTATTAAATTTGTATACCGCCCTACTTCCGAAGGACTCAGGGCGGTGAACAGGCACAAGATAAAATACAGAAATACAAAAGTTAAAACAATTTAAAACCAAATTAAATAATATTGGCCCACGACAATTAAAATCCCAATAAATTTAAAACCAATTAAAATTTCAATTTAAAATTTAAAAAATGGGAGAGAAATTAGGCCAGGCCGGCTTGCTGGAATAAGAGGGTCTTAAGAGCACGGCGGAAGGTGCGCAGATCTGGGTAAAAGCCGGATTAAGAGTAAAAGCCTTCTGATACTTTCTGAAGAATAATGTTGTGCATCTTATCTATGAAGATTCTCAGTCATCCAGGTCATGGTTGTCCCCAAAGTACTTTTTTCAAAATGCAACTGGACTTTCTTGTTATTCTTTGAAGACATTTCACTTTTCATCCAAGAAGCGTCTTCAGCTCTGGCTGGATGGATTCTTCCATTCCCCACCATCCAGCTAGAGCTGAAGAAGCTTCTTGGATGAGAAGTGAAACGTTTTCAAAAGAAAAAAACAAGAAAGTCCAGTTGCCTCCTGAAAAAAGCACTTTTGGAACAACCGTGACCTGGATGACCGAGAATCTCCATAGAATGTCACCTCCAGTTTTTATGGAGTTGCACTGAAAAGAAGCAGAAAGTTGTTTTACTTTGGAAGAACTGCTGCTGCTGCCATTAGCAAATTTGCAGCGACAATTTAGCGAACCAGTGTCTGTTCAAAGCCTCAAGGTTTTTTGTTTGGGTCTTTGGTCCTTTCATGACATAAAAAAGAGATACTCACAGTCTCCCATTTGAGCAGTCTCCTTGCCTCAGGCTTTTCACCATTCCAGCAAGGCACCTGGTAATACTAAAACTCCGTTAATAATTGGCTTCCTCTCTTAGTCAGTGTTTAAATGGTGCCAGTGGGAGCAGTTTTGAGATGCTTTAGACTTAGAGGCATCCTCTCTACCCAGATGGTACCCGGGCTATTATTCTCCCAACATGTCAGGTTGAGAGGAACAAGTTGACATGGTAGGAAGTAGACACTGCCAGCAGAACGAAACGATAAACTAGCTCTCCAGCATGCTTGAAGGGAGAACAGGAAAAACCAAACTTGAAATAAACTGAAGAAGCTTCTTGGATGAGAAGCGAAACGTCTTCAAAGAAAAAACAAGAAAGTCCAGTTGCCTCTTGAAAAAGCACCTTTGGGACATCTTATAGGGTGGAACCTCCATAAATGATTGCAAGAAACCTTTATAAATTATTAAGCTAGCTACTATAATAACACAAAGATGGTATGTAGGCCATGTCTGGAACAGAACGTTTGCAGTATTGAACAATCAGGTTTTTGGGGGGGCTGAGAATAATGTTAGAAGAGATTGTCAAAACTGAAAGAACCCCAAGAGAACTTGTAAAGGAATTAAAAGAAAGGTCACTAAGAAATAAGAAAGAATGGACCTCGGAATGGTCTTGAATATATGAGTTCAGTAGCAGATCAAGGGAATATACTGATCATTGTGCTATCTTTTCCCCCTTCTTTTCATGGTGTTAAAAATCATGAATCAAGTTGAATGATAAAAGATGTAGGACAAACCAAAAGGAATCACTTCTTCACACAGCAAATGACTCAAGTGTAACATTTTCTACCAGTGATGTGATATACATAATTTGCAAGTGGCTTCAAAAATGAGAGTAGGCAGCTAGAGCATCAAGTTTTAAGTGACTCCTGACGGTCACGGGGCTATATTAGCCTTCTCCAACATGATTCTGTGGAGCAAATCGGAAAGGGAAGGCTGATCTCTTTTACCTGAAGTAACTGAGCTCTTTATAAAACTTCAATGTGCAATGGTCAGAGGTGGTATTCAGCCGGTTCGGACCAGCTCAGGCGAACCGGTAGTGGAAATCGCAGGTGGGCCGGCCCACCTGCCCTGGCTCTATGCTGTCCTATTTAGGCACGTTTTTGAGGCCAGGCGCATGCACGGAAGGCGTGCACGCCAGCAAAGCACATGCCGGAAACCCAGGTACATGCGCGGAGGTGGGGCGTGTGCTCTCACATTTTCGGTGCTGGGCAAACCGTTAGATAAATTATATATGAATCCCATCTCTGGCAACGATGTCTCAGTGGCATCAAGTTGTTCACAAAGGTGAGACAGGATGAATTAGATAGACTTCTTTCAATCCAGCTGGATTCCCTTTCTCTCCATTTATTTGGGAACTGCTATAGTAGAATTTCATGTGGTCCAGTATCCAGAATTTGGCTAATTCGCTTTCTTTTTTTTTTTCTTTTTTTTTTACTTCACAGGATCCCTAGCAGGATTGTCCATGATGTTTTACAAAAGCACAACTATTTCAATGTATCTGGCTTCCAAACTAGTAGAGGTAGGCCTCTCTGTGCTGTCAGAATATCTTTTCCTCAGGAACGGCAGAATTCGTTTCATCCAGTGATACTCCAGCTCAAGCTTCCAATAAAGAAGAATATTTGTAGCTCAGGGTTGAAATGAAGGGTCCTTGGTGCTTGGTTGTTTTCTTGCAGAAGTTTCATTACCCAAACTAAGTGCAGCAACTAGCACTAGTTGGGATTATACCCAACTGATTCCGCTGCTGCTTTTTAAAAAGCCTTGTAGGGTTAACTCCCTGTCTGTTCTGACCTAGGCTTCCCAAGAGCACGAAGCAGACTCCTTGTCCCGACAAAAAACCCTTTTTATTAAGTTACTGTGAATTCCTCTCATTCACATTCAGCAAAATCTTCCAAGGGAGAATTTACAGTCACAGACCTTATCTGGCTTGGAGAGCTGCCAGGCCGATATCTTCAAAACTTGGCAAGGAGTCTCTGAGAATCACGGACTAATTAAGCGAACTAATTGTCTCCTGCAAACTCCCCTCCCCTTTCGCTCCTCTTTATTCCCTATGGGAGGGGCCATTCACCGGCCACCTGTGGCCTTACTCCCGAGTCGACCCTTGTTCTTTAGCTGTTCCCTTCATCTGGCAACTCTGCGCATGCACACACTGGGAACAGGCTCCAGCTGTTCTTCTGCCCCACTGATGTCTGACTAGAAGGCAGTTGACAACTGTCAGACAGCCCTGGCCCCCTCTCTGCCTCTGACGCAGAGCCCTCATCAGAGCCTTCCCCAGACTCCAGGACTGGCCCATGTTCCTCCCCAACCTCCTCACTGTCTGCCACAGCTCCATTGGCCGCTGGCGGGCCACAACACTGTCATTTTTCTTGTGCCTAACCTTGCATCATTGGTCTTTTTGGAAACTCATTCGCTTGCTCACTTGATTTTTTGTGTGTGTTTTCTTTTTAATTTTATAGACTATGTATTTCAAAGGCATTGAAGCTGGAAAGGTTCCTTATTTCCCTCACGCAGACAGTATAATCTACGCTGTATCCACCGCCATCTGCTTCCAAGCTGTAAGTTTTTGTTCTTTAGGTTCGAACTCTTTTTGTTTATGTCTAATGTTGCTCATTAAGTAAAAGGATGTAGGGCAGTTTGTCCTAGACATTCATTCATACAATAGCTGCTTGACACACTTTCATTTTTAAGAGGTTTGTTTATATTTTCAGGCTGCTAGAGAAGAAGAGATGATCAAACCTGCCATAGCTGGGGACATCTTCCAACAGCCCAAACAACTTTCTTGATATTTATGAGGAAAATATTTGTAGTTCAAGATTGAATTGAAAGGTCCTTGGTGTTCTTTCAGTTTGGTGCTTTCTTTGCAGGTGTTTCATTACCAAACTAGCTAGTATTGTCAGTGCACAGGTGATATTACCTAATTATTTGGCAATGAAATGCCTGCAAGGAAACCACCAAGCGCAGAAAGCACCAAGGACTTCATAACCGCAGTGATCCTCCATATCTGTTTGCATGATCACCTTGGGTGAGCTCATTCCACGCTGCGGCCTAAAAACTTAGCACACAATTAAAATTGGTTACTTTCATGTTACACAGCTCACCCATTGTAAGGTAGCATAGATCAGTGAATTTGGAAGAAATCGTTGACATTTGAGCTCTGTATATTTTATTCAGCGACAGTATGATTTAACGTCCAAGAAGCAGTACGAGCATAATAGTGTATCCAGGCCAAGTTGTTGATCTTTGTGAGAGATGATAGCAATAGCAATAGCACTTAGACTTATATACCGCTTCACAGTGCTTTACAGCCCTCTCTAAGAGGTTTACAGAGTCAACATTATTGCCCCCAACAATCTGGGTCCTCATTTTACTGACCTCAGAAGGATGGAAGGCTGAGTCAACCTTGAGCCTGGTGAGATTCGAACTGCCAAATTGCAGGCAGCCGGCAGTCAGCAGAAGTAGCCTGCAGTACTGCACTCTAACCACTGCGCCACCGCGGCTACTAATGATGAATTAGTAGTATTTACAAGAATGTCTTACCCAACTCAGTGCTCTCTAGTGTGAGTTGGCCAAAGCAAGTTGGCAGGGTTGATATGGCCATGGCAAGTTGTGTAGGCCATTCATGTGATGCCCATGTGTACTGGCAAGCACTGGTACACAAGCTCAGTGATTGCCAGTAGGCTTCTGAGTGCAATTCAAGATGCACCTATAAAGTCCTTCCTGGCACAGGGCCTTATTATGTGGGCAGCCATCTATCATTTTATTTAAGGTCCACGTCCTTATCATTTTTTGCCCTTTCCACTTAATTTTGATAGGATTGTGGTCTGCCCACGAATTTATATCAATATTAATTTCCTCAATTTCTAAATTTAACTTTGTTGATGCCCAGACCATATCAGTTCAAGTCCAAGATTGATGTCTGCCAGAATAATATGTATATTGTTTCTCATTCCCGTTTCTTTCCCTCCAACTATCCTTTATACTCAATTCTTCAACCCTTTTAAAAAATGTATTACTTAATATCCTTCTGACACCTTTTTTTAATCTATCATTTGTGCAATCTAGTTCTCTATCTACAATCGTATTAAAATCACCGATTATGCACATGTTATCGTATTCTAAGTGAGTGCACTCCAGATCTCTTCAATTAAATATTGCTACCTTGAGGGGCTAAGGAAGAATGCCTTTTCTGCTTTTAACCCCTGCCTTCTGGAACATCACATCACCTGTCCCCTCCCTGAAATATGGATGGTGCCCATTCTCCTTGGGTTCTAGGAAATCTTTAATAGCACTTAGCAATAGCACTTAGACTTATATACCGCTTCACAGTGCTTTTACAGCCCTCTAAGTGGTTTTACAGACTCAGCCTATTGCCCCCAACAATCTAGATCCTCATTTTACCCACCTCGGAAGGATGGAAGGCTGAGTCAACCTTGAGCCTGGTGAGATTCGAACTGCCAAACAGCTGGCAGCCGGTGATCAGCAGAAGTAGCCTCCAGTGTTGCACTGTAACCACTGCGTCACCGCGGCTTTAAGGTTTGACTCTGCTGCCAAGCTGGGTTTAATTGTTCATACAGTTGCAAGAAAAAGTATGTGAACCCCTTGGGATTACGTGGAGTTTTGCATGAATTGGTCATAAAATGTGCTCTGAACTTCATCTAAGTCACAACAATAGAAAAACACAGTCTGCTTAAAATAATACTACACAAACATTAGATGTTGCCATGGTATAATTGAACATAACATGTAAACAGTCACAGTGCAGGGAGGAAAAAGTATGTATTGAATTGAATTGAATTCCCAACTTAAAGCCAGAATTTTTTTTTTGTTTTTTTTTTTTTAGGCTGTGATGGAAGTCCATAACCTGAGACCTTCATATTGGAAATTCCTATTGCGATTAACAAAAGGAAGGTGAGTAACTCACAGTAGTTTCATGTCCATGGAGATTCTCAATCGTGCAAGTCACGTTTTTTTTTCTCCAAAAGGCAACTGGACTTTCTTGGAAGCTTCTTGGATGAGAAATGATATGTTTTCAACGGAAAAACAAATGAACAAGAAAGTCCAGTGGCTTTTTGGAAAAATCACCTTTGGGCCTCAATGATTACCATTGCCCATTTCTGTAAGAAACATGGTGGGTACCAGACTTTCTTTTTTTAAAGGAATTTTGAAGGCATTTTGTGTTAAATGATGAGATGGTCAATTAACATGATTTTTTTTTAAAAAAAAATAAAAAGCATTCTAGGAGCTTACATTCTAGGAGCTGGGTTCACTTAAGATTGTCCTTCAGTACATAAGATTTTTTTATATATATAAAATAATTTTTATTGAGTATTTTACATTTTAAAACCAAACACCCAATAGCAAAAGAAATCAAGAGACAAAAACAAAAAAACAAAAACACACGTACACCAGACATTAAAATACAATACTAACAATAGATATATACAATTTTACAACTTTCTGCATCGACTTTTGTTTTTACTCTTAGCTTTTATCCTCCCGCTCCTTCTCTTTATTTTTAAATATTCATAATTAACTGTTTTGTTAGCAGGATCATTATTTACATTTATATCCAGTATGTTAATATCTAATTTTACTTTATATTCTTATTTCTTAATTTGATTTCTCTCTTCCAATCATGTATAAAACCTATTCCACACTTTATAATTATAATAGAAGACACGAGTCTTCTCTTGCTTTGATCTCCATCGTTAATTTATCCATTTTGGCGCATTCAGTACATAAGATTTGTATTTGTGCCCCAAAACAGCAGTGATTCAGGCAAGGAGTGTCATTTTTATCACAATTTTAGTTAGCATGCATTTTTATTTTAATCTTTGTTAGTCCCAAAGAGAAGTAGAATAATATTTCAGATTGCAACCTTTTCTCGTCTACTTGGCTAACAGAAATAACATTCACTGGAAGTTGGTTAGTCTTATACAAGAAGTCTAATAAAAAAGTTTGTTTGAAACATTGGAGAAAAAAAATATCAAACATCTGAAATTTTTGAAGGCCTTTAACAGGATAAGGAACATTTTAGTCGGGTTTATTGGAAAATATTTTTGCCGTTTCTTATCATTTTACCAAAGTAGTATATAAACATAGTAACATATGTTTATTATATTTCTCTTAAGATATCATTGCATGCTTCTTTTAATAAATGTATTATTTCACGATTGTTTTTCAGTGGGATGAACATGGTTTTAATTTTTTAAACTTTGCCGTAAAAAAAAAAAAAGTTAAATTCATACCACGGAGTTCATAATCCTGTTTTCTGTTGCTTTATTCCCTGAGTTATATAGTACATTAATTTTGGATCTTTCATTTTCTAGATTTGGTGTCATGAACAGAAAAGCACTGGATGTATTCGGTACCGAAGCATCTATGTATTTTAAGGATTTCTCTCTAGAACTCGACCCAAGATATACAGTTATGCCACCAGCAAGACCTATTCAAAAATCTTGGAACTGATGCATCCGTTTGTGATTATGTTTTACCACCAGCTGTCCTAAAGAGTTAATTAACTTAATAGTCAAATAGATGGAAGACTGCTTGTGTTCCACATCAGTATTGTTTCAGTGAGTTATGTTATACAATCAAAATACTGAAACACCGTTGCAAGGTGTGGCTTAATTCCACTTCCCTTCTTAGATAGAAGCTCTGGATCACTGTGGATGGTTGACACAACCTGGTAGATTGTTTTTTTTAAAAAAAATTGCATTATATATCAATGGATTAATATATGAAAAATATTTTTTTTTTAAAAAAAATGCCCAGATGTGGTTTAAACCAGGGGTCTCCAACGTTGGCAACTTTAAGAGTTGTGGACTTCAACTCCCAGAGCTCTGCTGGCTGAGGAATTCTGGGAGTTGAAGTCCACAAGTCTTAAAGTTGCCAACGTTGGAGACCCTTGGTTTAAAAGATATACATCCACAGTTCACACTGATTCATTCCAGTAGGTAGCTTTTTTAAAAAAAGAAAAGAAAAAGAAAAAAGAAAAATGATATTTTTACATTTAGAAATAAAAGATACGTAAAACAAATATATGTATATGTATGCTATAGTTGCAGATCAGATTCTAGCGGAAAAGATTTTCTTTTAGATGGATTTTTTTTTTTAAAAAAAGATTATTATGGCTCTTGACAATTGTTTTAAAAAAGGCAATATCGGTATTTTATTTATACAGCTGCACTGTTTATATCCAACTTTGGCTTTGAATACTGCCTTCTGAGAGCATCTATTCTCCAAACCCAGTTGCACACTGAGAGGTAAAAAAAAAAAGGGGGGGGGGGGGCCGATTTTTGGTTTTTTGAAGGAATATAGAAGTTTTCTGTTTTTTTATACATGAATTGAAGAGAAAAAAAAATTACACTGTTCTGACAACATTCTTCAGAAAGTGACTATGCCACTGAACACACAGCTGTCTTGATTTTATAAACTTAAATGTTGCTTTCTGGTAACATTCAAAGCGAACCCAAGATCTTACATTCGGTGGATAAAGTAAAACAGGGGGACGTATTAAGAATATTGGTGATATCTACTTCTACAGATTGCATTAGCTGATTTTTCTGATTGGCCCGTGATAGTGTAAAGCTGGTCATTGCACAAGCCACTTGCTTTGATGGATTATCTGATTTCTGGTTTAACAGCCACTTTAGTATAGCTGCACGTGAACTGCAAGGAAGGACTTTCGAAGCGTTTGAGAGATTAAAAGGGAAAAAAAAAAACCTACTCAGATCTGTACGATATCTTAAAAGCTGAAATACCTGTGATCAAAAGTACCAGAAAGAGAGAGATTGCTTGGTACTAGATTTAATTTCTGTACACTGATTTTCCCCCTCTATCTATTATATGATTTGAACATGCACACAAATTAACCAGTATTATTTCATTCACTGTAACAATGATGCCGCATTCACAGGACAGGAGCATAAATTTTTTTTTTCATCCTAAGGAATTTGTCAGAATTGCCATTCAGACTAAACGAATGGAAATGAAAGTGGAATCAGGGGGGGGGGGGGAATTGATATCATATCATACCGTAGAGCACCTCTCTCTTTCTAATGTGAAATAATATTTCAATCATAATTTGCACTTATGTTCCAGTCGTTTGGACTAACAGGGCTGATTGTGTTTATTATCTTTATTGGAGAATGAAATCATGCGTCAGTCTTTTAAGAGACTATTGATTATGCTTGTTCAGTATTATCTTTTCTTTCTCCCCCAGTCCGTAGACTTTACATCTGGTTTTGTCAAATGTTTTTGAATCTGCTTCTGCCCTTGAGTGTGGATCAAAAAGGTTATTTAAATCAGATGGCTGCCCTAAAAATTGTCACTGCCAATTGTGTGATACAGGAAGTGATGCATTATCAATTGCTAGATGAGCAGAAAGTTTGAATGTCCTAGATAGTGGTGAGTGATGAATCTTCCTGATCAATAGCAATAACACTTAGACTTGTATACCGCTTCACAGTGATTTACAGCCCTCTCTAAGCGGTTTACAGAGTCAGCCTATTGCCCCCAACAATCTGGGTCCTCATTTTACCGACCTTGGAAGGATGGAAGGCCAAGTCAACCTTAAGACGGTCAGGATCGAACTGCAGGCAGCCAGCAGTCAACAGAAGTACTGCATTATAACCACTGCGCCATCACGGCTCACAATATTCCTTACGTAAGGCAATAGAGCAAGTTCTTCATAAAAGTAAACTTAGGACTCACTGATCTATCCAACTCCCGTCTCATGTGTTGCGACTTTGAAGTCTGCTGAAATAGTTTGAAGAACCCCAAGAAATACCCTGAAAATATAAATAGTATAAGATGTAGGGCAGTTAGTTAATGCCTGGAAGAACAAAGAACATAGAATAACGGGGTTAGGAGGGACCTTGTTGGTTGGATTTGAAGAATAAATAAATAGAAGAAATGCCTGGTCAGCATTTATTTTTAATTCTGTCTCTAAACATCAGCATTTCTTTTATCTGAACATCCTAGTTTCTTGAAGGGAAAAGATTTTAAGAAATTAACTTGAAGGACAGGAGAATTTAGATGGAATAGGATGGAGGTCATCTGCAGTCAGGATTGAGTATGAAAGAGCCAGAATGATATTCAAAAGTTTGAGCACTTTCCTTTTATTCTTTTTTAAAAAATTATTATTATTCAGGACAGGATGGGAGATCTCACCTGTAAGGGTAGAAAAAAAATGGGAATTTGGGGAGGGGGCAAAAAGTGCACAGGATTCCAATTGACTGGAATCCTGAGGAGGAAGAGATTTATGATGTACCACAGATACCCAAGCTCTTTGAATGTTCATAGTTGTTGTGTGATTCATTTATTTAGATACCACTTCTATATCAGGCTGCCATCCCAAAGCTCTCCATGATGCAATGATAATAATAATTTAAACCTCCAAGATACTTTAAATGTTAAAAATTAAATCATAAAACCACGAACCAATAATGATCCTCTCGGCCACAGTCACAAAAATAAAACGAAGGCCATGAATAAAAATAGGAATAAAAGAAGATGCAAGCCATGAACTTGGCACTCTCCAAAGGAGCTCAGTTTTTTAAACATCTTTCTAAAAGTCGTCAGGGATGTCCAAACTCTACCGCTGAAAATCAGCACCTTCTGGCTTCAATTCCAGTCATCTCCTGGAAGTGAAGGACCACAAGGAGCTTCTCCCTAAATAATCTGGCCACTTGGGCTGATTCACATTGGAGAGGGTGGTTCTATAAGGTGCCCAGGTGCCAAGCCAAAAAGGTCATTTTGGATCACATAGCAGAAGAGAAGACAAATTTGAAAACACATGGGTATTCTGTGGAAGTATCTATTCCCTAGTTATCTTCAGTTTGAAAACTAATTCAAAACTTTTGAAAACTAACCAGGGGTAGGATTCAGAAATCTTAGCAACTGGTTCTCTGCCCAGTTGCTGGGTGAGTGTGACCATGGTGGGCGAGGCCTACTCGGCCTCCTGCACCATGGGGCGGCATTTTTGCCCTCCCCAGACTCCGGAGGCTTTCTTCGAGCCTCTGGGAGGGCGAAAACGGCCTCCCCCGGGCTCCGGAGACCCTCCAGAGGCTGGAAACTGGACCGTTTTCAGACTTCTGGTACTTCCGGTAGGCACATTTTTCACCCTCCCTAGGCTCTGGAGGCTTTCCTCGAGCCTCCAGGAGGGCGAAAACAACCTCCCCTGGGCTCCAGAGGCCCTCCGGAAGCTGGAAACAGGCCTGTTTCCAGACTTCCAGAACTTCCGGTAGGCCCGTTTTTCGCCCTCACAGAGCCTCCGCGCAGACCCTGCACTTACCTGGCATCCAAAACGGGCTGTGTGGAGACTTTTGGGAGGGGCGGGGTGGGGTAGGCGGGGTCAGCCAATCCTTGCAACAACTGATTCAGCAAACCAGATTAAAATTAACATCCGGTTCACCCAAACTGGTCTGAACCGGCTGAATCCCACCCCTGAAACTAACCCAAAAATGTCATTTTGGGTCACAAAGCAGAAGGGAAGACAAATTTGAAAACACATGAGTATTCTGTGGAAGTATCTATTCCCTAGTTATCTTCATTTTGAAAACTAATTTGTTTGGGAAATGCAAATAAAGGACTTAAAAGGACTTAAACTTTGCAAAGACTCATAGTCTTTTTTTGCATTTTGGTTTAAGGTAGATCTTTGTATTTGAGCCCAGATCTTCTTTTTTTTTAAAAGTTTCTTCATAATGAAGCTTACTACCTATATTTATTGTTAAGTTCTTTTTCAGGTAGGCTCAGATTGCCGCTAGCAGATGTTATTCAGCTTTTTTTTTTTAAGTAGAATCACTTTAGAAATTTAATATCTGTGCAACTGCACCTCGCAGAAGATTGATTTCTAAAACCCATTGATTATATCCAGGATCGTAGAAGTTTCATAGAGCTGTGTCAGATTATGTGGTAAGTGAAAACTGACTTTTAGGGAGACACTTGTGTCTGAAGAACAAGTGCTTTCTCTGGGTGCGTTCCTTTCTCCAGGAAAAAAAAAATTACCTTACTCTGAGGAAAACACTGGAATTAAAATAAAAATGTTGAATTTTGCACATTGTGGCAGACTTCTGAGTGGGGAATACTTTCTGTGCAATACACTTTGATGTTTCTGATCAGGGGGACAACTTGTCTATAAAAAGCTTTCACATTTTTGTCTGCCCTACTACTGTTTTTTCTCTATCTATGATCTTTAACAGGCCAATATAAGCATGTTCTGTTGAAGTAAAATATGATTGCAAGGGATAGTTCTTGTAAAAAGTGTTCATTTCCCTCACAATTCCTCTATCAGCTGAATGTGCTTCCTTCTTGGAATTATGGAGTTTTAAGTCCCATTTAAAAAAAACAAAACATCCTCTTTACTCCAACAATTAATTTTCCAAATAAATACACTTAGGAGTTAGGAGATAGCATCCATGTCAGGTATTTGGACTTTCCTACATAATTCACTGTAAAACCTTAAGTAGTATGTATGTGCAGGAAGCACTTCTATCAATTTCTTAGTGATGATGGATTTTTGTGTAACGTGGAAGAATTAAAAACAAAAGGACTGAATTTATT